TACCGGTGATGAGTCCTTGTTTCCCCGAATGCTGAAGTATAACGCCAGAGAAGCACACCGAGGCAAGTGTAGAGTGGAAAGTGGAAGGCTTTATTAAAGAACAGCAGAAAAGACTTCTCCCCGAAGAAGAAGGGGACCAGAGATGTGGAATCCGTGGAAGGGTGAGGTCTTCCCTTTTTTATAGCTAAGGTCTTCTTTTAGTCCTCCCACATGTCCTTCGATTCCCTTTACCCTGAAGTGATAGAATGCAGGTGGGAAGGACAAAAGGTGGGAGATAGGTGGTCTGGAGGAGTAATCTGGGCAGGAAGGGYCTGGGGTGGTTTTTGATTAGCACCTCCCTGCTTGCTGGGAGCTACTTCATTAACAGTTCCTTAGTATGGGTTCCAGGCCTTGGGGACATTATCATTTCAATTTCCCCAAGTGCTGCTCTGCTTTCCTGGACTCCATTCTGGATAATGGTCTCCATTTTCTTTATCTTACTCGATGTTAGACCCAATTTACCTAACTACACTAACTACCTAGCATTAAGTCTGGCTTCACATACACAATGGTATATATACACAGCCATAAAGAAAAATGAAATCATGGCATTTGCTGGTAAATGGATGGAACTTAAGACCATTACGCTAAGTGAAATACACCTGACTCAGTCAAAGGTAGAATGTTTTCTATCATTTATGTAAGCTAGAGTAAAATTAGGRGAAAGAGAGGGAGAAATTACACAGTAAATTTCACATTTTACATACAATAAATTTATAAAATGAATTATAAAATAAATTTATAAAATGCAGTAAATAGAAGGAAGATCAATAGAGTAGATGAAAGGGAAACAGCGGAGTAAAGAAAGAAGGGAAAGRGGACGTACTGGGGACTGAAATGGAACAAATTATATTCCGTGCAGGTGTAATTATGTCAAAATAAACCCTAATGTTATATGTAAATATAATGTACTAATAAAATGTTTAAAAAACAGAGTAACTCAGATGGTACGAAACTGGTGGAATAACACGCAAATAGATTACTATAACAGAAAAGACAGCTGAAAATACTTTATAATTAATAGAGTTAAAAAAGCAAATCCATTTTAATTAAGAAAGGATAGTGTTTTCAACAAATTTTTCTGAAACAACTAGGCACTTATTTGCAAAACGATAAATCTACAGGTAGATATTATAACCATGAAAAACAATAACTCAAATTAGGTCACAGATTTAAATATAAAACRCAAAATTATGAATTCTGAAAAGACAATATAGAGATCCTTCAAATGCACTAGCAATGCCCTTTTAAATACTGTAACAAAAACAATATCCAGGAAAGGAGGAACTGATTAATAGGCTTTGTCTAAGATGAAAAACTTCTACTTTGCAGAAGACACTACCAAAGAAATAAGAAGACAAACTATAGACTGGTGAAATACTTGCCAATGACATATCTGAAAAAGGACTCTTAAGCCAGGCCAAGTAAAACATTGTGCAAAACATTTAAAGAGTTCTTTCTAAAGAACACGAAAATGACAAATAAGCTTACTGAAAATCGCACAACATTATATATAAACAAACACTTATAAACTAAAACAAAACTGATGAAAGTTAATGTTTGCAAGAAAGTGGTACAGTGGGGCCCATTAATCATTGCTTTGGGCACTGAAACCATTCTGCATTATTGTACAATAATAGATACATGCCATTATATCTTAGATAAAAGCTGTAGAATATACAGTACATAGAGTGCACCTTATGTAATCTATGATCTATCAATGTTGGTTTGATTGTATCCAATGAACCACACTCCTGAGGGCAGCTGATTGTGAGAGAAGTGAGTTGATGTGCACAGAATGCTTGTGGAAACTGCAGAATATCCAGTTAGTTTTACTGTGAAACTAAAATTAATAAATTTTGTTAATAAAAAAGTTCTAATCTACAACTCAAGCAAAGATGAGGTTTTGGTACCCTATGAATCTTAAGGGTTTACTGCTGATACCCTCCTAAGTATTAAGACAGGGTGATAGAAATTCCTTTGTGATTTCTAAGCCGAGGGAAATGAGAAGTCAGGAGCAGAAAAACCAGGATTGAGAGAAAGTCTTACCTTGCTGAATTGGTGATACTTTATCCCATTGCAACACCAATTGCTCATTCCTTAAAATAAAAGGAAATTTTAAACAAAATGACTGCAGAGATCCCTTCTATTTTTAAACTATGATTTTTTTTATGCTTTTAAAGGAAGGATTATCAGGAGCCTCAGTTGGGAAACAGAAAGGATGAGCTAAGCAGGGATAAACATATTTCAGGGAATAAAGGGATTGCTTTAGAAAGACCAACTGAGTTGACTTTATGCAAAATAAGTTAATGTGATTCTTTAGGGTTCAGGGYTCTGTGGGTCAGGCGGCAAATTGACTTTTTATTTTTCCCTCGATAAAGTATTCGCCATGACTAGGGATCACTAAAGTTATTTTAATTTTTTATCTGGGAATTATAATTAAACATCATAGTGGAATTCATTTTTATGTATTTGTACATGCACACAATATAATTTGGTTAATCTCTTTCCTCAGTACCTCCCTTTCCACTCCATTCCTACCATCACCAACACACCCCTTAAAAAAGCTAATCACTGAAATTATAAAGCTTATACAACCAAACTTTTCTGACCTCTGAATCGATAGATATTTTCAGTAATTATTAATAAAATTCATGTTTATCTTCAAAGTCCACTTTTTAGTCTGAATTACAAAATATTGAACTTTGGATACAAACAGAAAGTGTTTGAGACCCACACAGAAGTCAATGCCTCTTTTCTTTTTAATATACATTCTTTAAATTTTTGATTAACACATGAATTGTACATATGTGCCTTGCTATCACAATGTTCTATTTCTATGCACACATATGACATGCTTTCATCAAATTCATATTCTCTTTAAATATGTCCCCAGGCCTTTTCAAGCCTCAACTAACCACTATTTAACATTTATTCTACAAATTGACTTTCTTTAGCTTCCACATATAAGAGAACACATATTTATTTTTTCTGTGCCCTTGTAATTTCAGATAACATAATATATTCCAGCTCCATTCATTTTGCTGCAAAGACATTATTTCATTCTCCTTTTTTGGCTGGATAATAGTTCACTATGTATATACACCACATTTTTTTTTAATCATTCAACTGATTATGAGCACCTAAATTGGTTCATTGTCTTAGCTATTGTGAATAGCACCGAAATAAACATGGGCTTGCAGCAAAGATATCTCTTCAGCATTCTGTTTCCATTTTCTTAGGGTATTTATTCAGAACTGGGATGATTGGGTCTTATCATAAATCCAGTTCTCATGTTCTATTTCTATGCACACATATGAAGGAAACTTCATTTCATTCTGCACAATGATTTTATAATTTTTCCACCAATAGCATATAAGAAGTGTCTTCTCGAAGGGAAGGGTACAAGATGCAGGTGCCATGAATTCCGGCAACAGCTTTCCCACCTTCAATCCCTGTTACTTTGGCCAAGGCACTGCATCTCCAAGACCCAGCTTCCTCAGCTCTACAGTGAGAATAATTTTCCTTTGACAAGGAGTTTGAGAGATGTGAAAATTCTTTGTGAACTGTCAGTTCCCCTAAAAACATGATTAAGAAAAGATTACATAACAATCTTTCTTAAGAACAGCTCAGAAGTAACCATACTAACCAATTTAGATAAAATATGATTGCAAAGCATTTTGCAAACATGCCTTTGAGTAAGCATCAATCTCAGTGATCTGGTAACACACATCATTCCAGAAATCGTGGAAGACTTCTTATGACTCAAAGCTGCCTCCCCTTCAGGTCTGCAAGTGGTGTTGGTTTGCACTTTGGGTTTAATTCCTTTCTCACTTTCATCATCTATTACCCCCACAACTGTAGTTCTGTCTATAATTTCCCTTCACTGMAGTGCATCATTTCATTTTTTATTTCTGACAATGACAAATGCAAAATAACTGAAACAGCTTGTCTGGAGGTGACAGGGAAGTGGGAAGCCATGGTTCTTTGTGCTCCCCACTCAGTTTCCTGAGGTTGTCTCTTGCCACATTTCTGCTGAGCAGGTTTCATCTCTGCAGTGATGGGCAGAGGAAAAGGCAACCTTTAATTTCCTCTCTTGAGCACCTCTGGTCCTACTCACCTGAAGTCAAATTAGGAGCTTCTATTTGATGGGAAGCCTGTGCTTTATGAACAGAGTCAGTGTGATGAACTTTCACAGTAACTGACATTTTACGGGGTTTGCTTTGTTTTTCTAAATTACTCTTCCTGAGCTGCGGTGAAGTCATAGTATATGTACCATGTGATCATCCAAGCCACTCATTCAGATCCCAGCTCACAATGTCTCTAATTTTCCATTTGGAAATTTAAACAATAATACTGTCTATCTTTCTAATTATTTAATGTTGAAGTCTGTGCAACTTTCGATAATAATTTGATGTTTGGTGATTTAAAATATATGAATCATGTTAGGTATTTGGTGCTTTGTGGAGAAATGATTCTGTAAGTAGCATATTAATACTAGAAAGCCTTCTATTACTGAGATAAAGTTTCCCAGTGTTTAATAGCAAAAGATAATCTTCACACAATTCAAATAATATTCCAAACTAACCCAAGTCATAAATTCCCAACTGGTTATTACTCTAAGAATCCAAAATTAATTTTATTTTCATGCATCAAAACTTAATTTTAAATTTTCTCAGTGATGAATGCATATTGAAAGCAAGTGGGGTATTTTTTTTAATTGTTGCTAACGGGTCACCAACCTAGTGCATTTAAAGTACTGTCACCTGCATGGGGACTGGAAAAAAGAGAACATCACTAGAGAACATTTTATTTTTATCCCAGTCATTGAGAGAAAGATTACTTAGAAGGATTAAAGTCCACCTAGGTGAACGGCCTCTCATAGGTCAGAGTTACAAGTTGAATTATTAGAAATCATTATTGAATTATCAGAGTTCACAGTTGTCTCAGTAAGAAGGAAGACTTCCATGGATCCCATTGTGGTCCTGGTGCTCCTTCTCTCCTGTCTGCTTCTCATTTCACTCTGGAGACCCACATCTGGGAGAAGGAAGCTCCCTCCTGGTCCCACTCCTCTACCAATTATTGGGAATGCCCTACAGATAGATTTTAAGGATGTGAACAAATCCTTAGCAGAGGTAAGTATGTTTTATGCTCCTTCAGTGGCTTGCAAAAGGCAGTAAATCATCGCCCACTTAACCATAAAATATATTTTTGGATGCACAGTATTTTACTAGATAACTTTAAAGCAAAATACTACATGCAACACAAGCTCTGATGTACTTATTGCTTTTTCCAGTTTGTCACTGTCAGATATTGTCCAACAAAGTAATGATTTTTGTAACTACAGAAACATTTAGATCCTTGTCCAGTCGAATCAAGATCACAAACTGGAAAAAGTAGTGAATGCTTCTTCCCTTTTTTCTTATACAGCCATTTGGAGTGATTTTTGCCTGAAGGTCAATGCTAAGAGAGTGCTTATGAGTAGAGAGTTCATTAAATAAATCATGGACCATATTAGCCCTGTGTTTAATTCGGGATTATCATAAATAGAACTTCTCTGAAGAATCTACTTTTGGGCAAAGTCAAGGAAATAACTGTGGGTCTGGAATACCATAAAGAATAAAAGAAACGAGCAATGAGTTAGGGCCCATTTGATGATATCAGCATCTTTTGGGTTTCTACACAAATCATTTGTCTAGGGTCAAGAATGTAGGAGAGTAGAAGAAATGGCTCTTCTTAGTAGCTGCTGCATGTCCTGGTGCTACCTATGTAGTCTCATTCTCTGAATTTGTTGCAGGAGTAGAGTCTAAATGGAGCTTGGAAGTAGGATCATATAGATTTATTTAAAACTGTAGATTTCTGGTGCTCACCACAGGACTACTGAGTCAGAATATTGTTGAGAAGAGTTTTGCAGGTGATCCTGATGCAGTCTGTTTGTTGGGTATTAAATTCATGTTGTGTATTCAGATAAAATAAATTGCTCAAATATCAGGTGTTGAATAGGCAGAGGTTCTAATTTATGTYTCTTTTATATTAGCTTTGAGGCACTAGAAATTAATTTGTAAAATAGGGCAAATATGCCTGCTGAAAATGTTGACTTGAGAATTAATTATAATATGTGTACAAATTGTGTGGCCATTGAATGGCATATCATAAACCACCTCTAAGTGACAGTTATTATAATCACTATCACCTTTGTATGGGAAATTTTAAAATATTTGCACCTATGTGTCATAGAACAAACATATTAATTACAATAGTAACAACCGTAAGAATCAGACATGATATGTGCATAAATTATTATTTCTTTTGCTAATATTTTCACATTCTTTCTCACTTTCAGTTCTCAAAAGTCTATGGGCCTGTGTTCACTCTGTATTTCGGCATGAAGCCCACTGTGGTGTTGCATGGATATGAAGCTGTGAAGGAAGCCCTGGTTGATAATGGGGAGGAATTTGCTGGAAGAGACTCTATCCCAATTTTTGAAAGATGTAATAAAGGCCTTGGTAAGTGTGTGAATGCATATGGGTGTGCACATATGTGTGTTGGGCAGTAGTCATGGGGGTGAGGAGGATGTTTTGAACAGACCAGAATAGCTCCTCAGGCAGAGTTTGTCCGTTCACATGTGACTTTCCTCTGCCTGGATGGAATCTCTCTTTTCCCTCTGTTTCTCCTCCTTATAGGAATAGCTTTCAACAATGGAAAAACATGGAAAGAAATAAGGCACTTCTCCCTCATGAGCCTGAGGTATTTGGGCATGGGGAAGAGGAGCATTGAGGACAGAATTCAAGAGGAAGCCCGCTGCCTTGTGGAAGAGTTGAAAAAAAACAATGGTGGGTGCCTCTTTATGTCATCAACCTTAACAGATTACTGTTTTGATTGACCTCCTTGCAAGTGTTTCAGGCTGAATGAGATCTTATATTATGATCCCTAGTTGTGACCCCATGGGGAGAAGAGATGATTTCAACCAGAGAGGTAGAGTATTTTTTTTAACCAATGTATGTGTACACATATGACCGACCTGCATTGTCAGTAGTGAAAAAAAAAAATTTTACCTGTGTACGATGCATATATGCACACATACTAATCCACAAGACTCCTCAAATTCTTTCTACCTCCTTGGCTAAAACAACACTTTTTCTAAAAGCTTATATCCCTGTAATGTTTAAAAGACACTGTCATTCAAGTAGCTACCTTATCAAGTTAACTATTGTTGAGATGCCCTACTTTTAATTCAGAATGCTTTTAATTCAACTCTCCTTTATTTAGAGTCTGTCGATGTAAATTTGTGAACTCCCACAAGTAAAGCACATTAGCCATTTGATCATGCCAATTTCACTTCAGAGATTCCTCCAGAAAAGGAAACTTTTCTGATAATTTAATTTGATTACATTATGTGTCAGACAGTTTGGCCTATGTGATGAGAGGGTTTTCAAGTTTATTTTACATACGATTCTTTTGAGAATTCTATATAGGATGATGTCYAATCATTCACAAAACTCATCTTTGTCCAACTAAATCAAATTTGAAGTTCTGTTAGAGACAATAGATAGATAGTTCCTAAGCATCTTTTAAACTTTAAATCCAAAAATAAATTTATTCATCAATTTCACATTTTTAAAAATTTTTTTTAGTTGTAGTTAGACACAATATACCTTTATTTTATTTATTTATTTTTATGTGTTGCTGAGGATCTAACCCAGCACCTCTCACGTACTAGATGAGCGCTCTACTGCTGAGCCACAACCTCAGCTCCAATTTTTGTATTGGATGCTTTAAATTCTTTAATACAAAAATTACAGTTTTACACCATACAGTTAAGTTCATTTTTAAAAAGTTGCACATACATTCCGTTTCAGTCCTCATTCACACCCACTTTCCCTTCACTTCTCCAAACCCTACTCTCATTTTACTCTACAGATCTTCCTCTTGCTTGTTTATTTATTTTGATTTGTGCTTTATACACACACATGATGATGGAATGCCCTGTGTTATATTTACATATGAACAGAGCATCATTTTGTTAAATTCATTCTGCATATAACACTTCCTTATTTTCTATGTTAGGCATTTTGATTATGATGTGTCTTAGAGAATATCTTTTGTAATCTAGTCTATTTGAGGTACTGTTTGCATTCTGAATGTGGATGTTTATGTTCTTTCTGATGGGTAAGTTTTGGGTTATAATATTGAAATTGTTCTTAATGCCTTTAGACTGTATCCTCATGTTCTCTGCTAGCCCAATGACTCTCAGGTTTGTTCTCTTGATATTGTCCAAGAGTTCTTATGTATTCTGATCATATTTTATCATTTTTGTGCATTTGTTTCATACTATATACTCAAATTCATGTATGCTGTCTGCAAGGCTTTAAATTCTGTCTTTAAGAGTGAAGGTCTAATTTCTACAAAATCAAATCTGTTGATGATGGTTTCAGGTGAATTTTTAATTCTATTCATTGTGTCTTTCATTTCCAGGAGTATTGATTGGTTTCTTTTCAATAACTCTTTTATAAAATGATMTTTCATCTCTGAATTTCTCTATTAATTCCTCATATATTCTTTTATTTCATTGGATATTTTTCATTATTTATTTATTTATTTTAATTAGATATATATGACAGCAGAATGTATTTTGATTCATTGTACACAAGTGCAGCACTTTTCATTTCTCTGTACATGATGTGGCCTCATACCATATGTGCAGTCATATATATACCTAGGATAATGTCCATCACATTCCACCATTTTTCCTGCCCCCAAAYCTCCCCTCCCCCTTGCACAATCAAAGTTTCTCCATTTTTTCCATGTCTCCCATCCCCATTATGGATAAACAACTACTTATCAGAGAAAATATTGGCCTTTGGTTTTTTGGGATTGGCTTACTTACCTGCGAATGCCATAATTTTGTTCTCTTTTAATGATGAGTAATATTCCATTGTGTATATATACCTCAGTTTCTTTATCCACTCATCTATTTAAGGGCATCTAGGTAGCTTTCACAGCTTAGCTACTGTGAATTGAGCTTCTATAAACATTGATGTGGCTGTGTCCCTGTAGTATGCTATTTTTAAGTCCTTTGTGTATAGACTAAGGAGTGGGATAGCTGGGTCAAATGGTGGTTCCATTCCAAGTTTTCCAAGGAATCTCCATACTACTTTCCAGAGTGGTTGTACCAATTTGCAGTGCCACCAGCAATGTATTTTCCCCCCACATCCTAGCCAACTCTTATTGTTGTTTGTATTCTTGATAGCTGCCATTCTGATTGGAGTGAGATGAAATCTTAGAGTAGTTTTGATTTGCATTTCTCTAATTATTGAAGATGTTGAACATTTTTTCATATATTTGTTGCCCATTTATTGATTYGGTTGTTTGGTTTGTTTTTGGTGTTAAGTTTTTTGAGTTCTTTATATATCCTGGAGATTAGTGCTCTATTTGATGGGCGTGTGGCAAAAATTTACTCCCCAAATGTAGGCTCTCTCCTCACCTCATTGATTGTTTCTTTTGCTGAGAAGAAGCTTTTTAGTTTGAATCCATCCCATTTATTGATTCTTGATTTCATTTCTTGTGCTTTATGAGTCTTGTTGAGGAAGTCGGGACCTAATCTGACATGATGAAGATTCAGGCCTACATTTTCTTTTGTTAGGGTCAGGGTCTCTGGTCTAATTCCTAAGTCCTTGATCCACTTTGAGTTGAGTTATGTACATGGTGAGAGATAGGGGGTTTGTTTCATTTTGCTGCATGTGTATTTCCAGTTCTCCCAGCATCATTTGTTGAAGAGGCTATTTTTCTCCAATGTATATTTTTGGCTCCTTTTTTCCAGTGTGAGGTAACTGTATTTATGTGGGTTTGACTCTGTGTCTTCTATTCTGTGTCATTGATCTACATGTCTATTTTGGTGTTACTATACCTTTGTAGTACAGATTAAGGTCTAGTATTGTGATGCCTCCTGGTTCACTCTTCTTGCTAAAAATTACTTTGGCTATTCTGGGTCTCTTATTTTTTCAAATGACTTTCATGATTGCTTTTTCTATTTCTATGAGGAATGTTGTTGGGATTTTAATTGGAATTGCATTGAATCTGTATAGCACTTTAGGTAGTTGGCCATTTTAACAATATTAATTTTGCCTATCCAAGAGCAAGGAAGATATTTTCATTTTATAAGGTCTTCTTCAATTTCTTTCTTTAGTGTTCTGTAGTTTTCATTGTAGAGGTCTTTCATCCTTTTTTTAAGTTGATTGCCAAGGGTTTTGTTTTGTGGATATTGTGAATGAGTAGTTTTTCTGATTTCTCTCTCAGAGGATTCATCACTGATATATAGAAATGAATTTGTTTTAAAGGCATTAATTTTATATCCTGCTACTTTGCTAAATACCTTTATTAATTCTAAAAGTTTTCTGGTGGAATTTTTTGTACTCTCTAAGTATAGAATCATATGCATCAACAAATAATGATAGTTTGAGTTCTTCTTTTCCTATTAATGTACCTAGGATAATGTCCATCACATTCCACCATTTTTAAATTTTAATTTAATTTAATTTTTTTCATCTGTCTAATTGCGCTGACTAGAGTTTCAAGGACTACATTGGATAGAAGTGGTGCAAGAGGTATTCCTGTCTTGTTCCAGTTTTTAGAGGAATACTTCTAATGTTTCTTCATTTAGAATTTTTTTGCCTTGGGTTCAGCATTGATAGCTTTTACAATGTTGAAGAATGTTCCTACTATCCCTAGTTTTTCTAGTGTTTTGAACAGGAAAGGGTGCTGTATTTGGTCAAATGCTTTCTCTGCATCAATTGATATAATCATGACTCTTATCTTTAAGTCTATTGATGTAATGAATTATATTAATTAATTTCTGTATGTTGAACAAAACTTGCATCCCTGGAATGAACTCCACTTGATCACGATGCACTATTTTTTTAAATACTTTTTTGTATGCAATTTGCCAGAATTTTATTGATAATTTTTGCATCAATGTTCATCAGAGATATTGGTCTAAAGTTCATTGAACATTTTAATAGTCAGTATTTTATAATTTTACTGTGGAATTTCATCCACTTATCCAGGATTCTTTGATAGGAAATTGTGTATTTTGGGGGGGAGGTGGGATTTGTTTTCCTGTTACCTTATGTTTTCAGAAGTCTTAGAGTTYTGAATCAATTGAGATGAATTCCCCTTCCTCTTTTATAAGCATGTTCTTTCATATATAGTTATCTTTCTTGTTCTGAGATTTTTCTCTGCTATATATATACATATATATATATGAGTAGGACTCAAGGAGTGGGATCTGGAGTTCTCCTCTGGCTGTTCCTCCTTGGGACATGGTTGTTGGTTTAGGGCTTTTGTCTCCCCAATTATGTGCTTTGAACTAATGATAAGGCTCAGGTGGGGTTAGATCACCTGTGGATTGAGATTCACTGCTGCTTGGGCTAGTTGTATGTATTTTTTAGCATCAGGATCTCAACTCTGTGATCTTGAAGTGTCCCAATCACTTTCTAGTCCCCCTTAGAGAGAAGGAGATCCAAGAATAACACTAATGTCACCAACAGAGAGACAGCCCTAAGATAAATGTCCAGTGTCTACTTTGACACTAACTGCCACCTACATAGGAATGGTGGGGTCAGCATTTAACATCAATACATACAGTAAAAAGCTGTGAACTAGAGTGAGCATTCAACAGCAGGTGTCTACTATGCAATCCGTGTTCTTTCATGTATAGTTATCTTTCTTGTATTAATAATTACAACATAAATGGGGTTAGAATTACATAAACTATATAATTCTAGCATTCAGTAGGATTCCAGATTCTTAGGGAAAAAGAAAATGAGATAGGAAGGTGAGAAAAAGTTTTAAATATTTTAAAAAATGATCAGAGGAGATGCAGGAGGTGGGTAGTTGATGTAGGGTACAAAGAAAAAAAATAACAGTAATAAAAAAAAGAAAGAAAGTAGTAACAGGAAAATTCGATTGTTAGTGGGAGAAGATAGTAAAGAAGGGATGATAAGAGGGACAAGAACCAAGGTGTGAACAAACCAGTCAATGTAAGATCAAAACAACTCTAACCCTCATATAGGTATATCCAATTGAGTCAAATCAAGGCTAAATAAGAAACAAGAGCAGGAGAAAGTAATTAATTTGAAATTAAAGTTACATAAACATACATATATTTTTTCAAATCTATCAATGCAATGAGAAGACACTCATCTACACACATACGCCCATGTAAACAAACACAGAATCTTGCATAATGGAAAATAGTAAAAGATAATATAATGTGATTAAATGATATTTGAAAAAAAGTGTTAAAAAGTTAAAATTTAAAGAAAAAATATTAAAATGGAAAATGGTGAGGATTAAAGAACAAAGAAAAAAGGTTAAAAAAAAAACAAGAGAAAAAACCCCTACTTTAAAAAAAAAAGGGGCTTATTTTTCACTGAGGTAGTCAAAACTCTTGGCAGAGATGGATTTTCATTCTTTGTATTTATTTTTGATATTGCAATCTCCTTTTCACATTATTTCCTTCCAAGGTATGAACTCACCCATAGTCTCCTTTCCGTTCTTCTCCACTGGTTCACCACATGATTCTTTCAGCCACTTATTGCATACAAAAAGTTTCCAGGTACTCAGTATACTCTCCCTTTTTACCTCAGTGCTGTACTGTGTAAAGACTTTATAGACACAAGTTTATTCTGCTCCGAATACTCAAATTATGATGATTAACCTAGTCTTTGCCATTAGCAAGTAAATTCCTGGGGTTAATGGGATATAGGTAAAAGCAGTGAATGAGAATTGAGCATATTAATCTCCATTATTTAACAATCTAAGTTTTCAAAGTTAACTCATTTTTAAGGTAAAAGTAATGCTTTGTTTTAATTCCTATAAATATTTTCCTGCCAGATGATGGGTAGATAAAATATTGCTTAAAATATCTAAATTTGTGTATGAATACTTATTTGTGTATGAATACTTGAATTATTATGTAAGAAATATTTTTCAAAATAGCAGAACCCTTGAATTTAATGGGTATAAGTAAAAGCAAGAGATGTGGATTGAATATAATAAACTCTCTTACTTAAGTAGCTAGGCTACAATGGCCAGCTTAGGTTTCAGATATAGGTGATGTGCTGGCTTAATGCATTTTATTTTGCTCTTAGGGGAATTTGCAGGTATAATAGTGCTGAAAATTTCTGAAGTATGTTTATCTGTTAACAAAGACATAGTGTTTAGGTTTATATTTTAGTGGCATTTTCATATCATATCTAATTCTTTTTTTATTAAATTATTTAATTATTCTAATTTGTTATACACAATGGCAGAATGAAATGCATTTCATATTGCACACATAGAGCCCAATTTTTCAAGTCACTGATTGTACATAAAGTATTTTCACACCATTCGTGTCTTACAYATGTACTTAGGGTAATGATGTCTCACTCATTCCACCATCACTCCTGCCCCCTTGCCTCCTCCCTTTCCCTCCCTCCCCTTTGCCCTATCTAAAGTTCCTCCATTCCTCCCATGCTACCCACCCCATCACCATTTTAAGTCAGCATCCTTACATCAAAGAAAATATTCGGACTTTGGGTTTTTGAGATTGGCTTAATTTACTTAGCATTATATTCCCCATTTACCTGCAAATGACATGATTTTATTCTCTTTTAATGCTGAGTAATGTTTTATATCTAATTCTTTAGGCTCACCCTGTGATCCCACCTTCAACCTGAGCTCTGCTGTCTGCAATGTTATCAACACCATTATTTTTCATAATCGTTATGACTATAATGATCCATGTTTTCTCGACTTGTCGCAAAGGCTAAATGAAATTTTCAGGATTCTAAGCTCCCAGTGGATTCAGGTAAGGACAAGTTACTTTCTTCCTAAGAAAACACTTGTAGTTTGTTTTATTTTTTGTTTGTTTGTTTGTTTGTTTTATGGTTTTTTCCAGATATATTCAAAATTATATATGACTGTGAGGTGAAGTTAATTGTTTGGACTCCACTGTCCTGCCTAGAGCATCATGTATGAATATCTGGGAAAGGTGCTTGAGTTCCTTATTCAACACTCAGGAAAATGAAGGTGCACATCTATGGCTTGCTTTCAAGTCTGTTAGTCCATTATCCCATGGATATCCTAGTAAATCTGAGAAGCTCTGATTCTATAAGGACTTTGATGACTGCCCAAAGGATGACCATGTCTTTCAGTGGACATCCTGGTACATTTTGAAAGTTTCCATTGCCCACAAGACCTGCCCTATAATCTACACTTAGAGAGCTTTCACATACCTGGCAGGAATATCTCAACACAGGAAGAGGATATCTTTAAGGCAGGAGAATATTAGGGCCAAAGAAACTTAGACAAATCAATGAGTTCATGGAGGGGTGTTCAGTATGGTTTGCCATCCTAGCTAAAAAGATCACTGGGTTAGGGATGACAAAACGGTTGGTTTTATGGTATGTGAATCATAAAAACTCACAATTTCACCCTGTGCTAAATTGGCATGTCCTATACTCTACTGAATTAATATGTGAGTAGTCTTTACAAGTTGCTCAACCACTCTCATGGACAACTGAGCTTCTCAGTTTTCTTTGAGCTCCTTCCATTTCTGAAACACTCATCCCATGTCTGAGCTTTATGTTCTCCATAAAATAACCCCAAATCCCTTAATGTCATTTGTAGCAATACAAAATGTGAATCATGTTAATACAGGTCTTCTTATATTTTTTAGTTGTGGGAAAAATTATGTAGAATGTCTTTTAAAAATTGCCTTTATAGAAGAGGAGTCACTTAAGAATTTAGAAAATAGTTATCATTTTTTTTATTCTCTGGTCCCAAGGTTCTCTCATCAATCATTCTATAAGTGTARAGAAATTTGTTCATGATTACAATAAAAATTACAATTCAAGACAGGCTTGCAATCTCAGCAACTGGGGAGGCTGAGGCAGTAGGATCCAAAATTGGAGGTAGCCTGGGCAATGCAGTGAGGCCCTAAGCAACTTAGGAAAAAAAAAAAGTCACTGCCTTTCTACCTCACACCATTAAGGAGTCACTGAGGTGTGGAGGATGTGGAAATGGGTTGGTAGCAACAGCAACCCATGTGTCATAGCGGTCCTTCTGGGCTTCACCACCATCCCAAGGACCCCTAATGAAACCTCCCAGTGCTCTACACTGCTGGGTGCTGGTCGTGCTGCCCTGTGCAGTGGCAGGTCCTTGGCCACAACAGGCATCACCACCTCTTTCTGGGGGCCAAGGTGGTCACGGCAGTGCTCTGGGTGACACAATGGATGTGGGCATGGATGGCTGCTACTTTGGGCCATGCACAGCAAGCTCTGATGTCAAGCACCAGTGCTGGTGCAGTTGATGGGGCAGAACAGAGCCCAAGGAGATCGCGGAGAGCTACAACAGTGAAGATGGATAAAGCAGCTTCAGCACCCATGGAAGCCAYGGACCCTGCTACTTTTGAGCAGCAGAAGCTTTGGTTTGAAAAGGTCCCACAGGACAAGAAAGGCTTCAACATCAAGCAGATGAAGGAAGAAGGCCCTATTTCAGACTGTAGCTCACAAGGTAGGTGGAGACCAAGACTTGAAGGAAGTTGTAGACATGCACTGTGTGGACTACCTGATGAAGAATGCTAACTACTTTTCCAACAGTGTCACAGAAGACTTTATTACCTGCATCAACCGGAAGTGGAAAAATAGCTGCCTTGGCAACCACATTGTGATGCAGGTCAGAGCAGACATGTACAACCGTTGAGGGAGCTGTACAGTATAGCATAGCACCTAACCATCAAAATGAGAATGAACCCATCCATTTCAACTATCATCAGAATATCCACTGTAATTCAGTGGTGAATTCTAACGAGGCCACCATTGGGGTGGGGCCTGGCCTGCCATCATTCAAACCAGGGGTCGCAAAGCAGTCCCTGAAGAATGCTGTAAAAGCATTGGAGAGTGGAGGAATCAGGGATTGAACAGCAAATCTTAGACAACAAGAAATGGGCCACAGACTCAGAGGCCATGAATGAGGACATAGAGGAACAGGTGGCTCTGGAATTCCACCTCCATTGGCTGAGAGAGAAACAGACCCACCAGGTCTGTGGTTAAGTCAGCCCTGGAAAGCCAACAAGACCAGTAGTTTGGCCCCACCAGTGTGTGTGAAGCCATCCGTGAAAAACATGAGGATCTTCTCTCAGCATGAAGCCAGGGAGATTAAGGTTTGGCCTTGGGAATTATCTATGGCTCTCCCATGCAATAGATTATCCAATGCACATGATCTTTATCTCCACTCTGCTAGGAAGATCCCCCAYAGTAGCTCTGGAGATGGGAGTAACCTGTTAGGAACTGAATAGCCCAGCTTTGACCTTTTTTGGTAAAGAATAATCTATGGAAGACTTGATGTTTCTCAATATAAATAAAGTAGGCACGGGCTACATTTTGCCATAGTGGATCCATGAACTCAATCCCTCTGATCAGCTCCCCCTTCCTACTTTCTGTGTTCTGTTTTTGTTTTGTTCTGTTCTGTTTTGTTTTGTTTTTGTCTATTTTTCTTAGCTTTTATTTCTCAGCCAGCCCATTCCACCAAGGAGACCCCCATTTCCATTACCTGCACAGCATGCAGGTGAGAACTTCCCATGGTGTGGACCTGAAAGGTAACTAGTGAGAGTTTGGCCCTCTCTTGCAGAAAAAGCATGCTTGTGGATATTATAGATTATCATATTGTGGATTCGTATAAGGAGAGAGGAGAGGGGAAAGTTTTTATCATGGGACGTTAAACACGGAGAACTCTTTTTCTTCAGAGAAAGAAATCTGTTTTGCAATTCTGAAGACAATAATAAAACAAAAGGGAAAAGATACTTTTTAAAAGTCCATACGCCAGCCCGCAGACATGGAGAAATCTGTCCATAGAAGAAATGGGCCACAGACTCAGAAGCCATGAATGAGGGAGGCAGGCGGACCAGCGGCTGCACCAGCCCTGGCGAGGGAGCCACACACCTAACCGCAGCGGTGGCAACGGCAGCGGCCATGGCTGCGGCAGCTCTTGGCTTGGTGGCACCTGGGGCCAACGTGGTCGCTCTGGCAGGTGGGGTCCAGCCAGGACTACCAATATTCTAACTTCAGATGGACAAACATGGAAAGCACTCAAGACAGGCCAGCGCGCAGGGTGGGAACCCGGAGCTGCAGGCGAGATTTCGGGACACATGGAAGTAAGGGCRGGCGGACAGCTCAGGACAGGGGGCAGCGACGTGACAAATTTTTTTCTGCACCSGCTTCTTCCAAGCCCCGCCTCCCGCAGGCTAGGAAGGCTTTCTCAGGCTTTCTCTCAGTGCCTCCCATCATGGCTGGGGGGGCCTTCCAGGCCTGCCCTCCAGCTTTGCCAAGCCTGTGTGTTGCATGCTGCTCCTTAAAGAGGAAAGTCCAGCTACAAAATGTTCTTTCATTTTTCCAAAGAAATGCTTGCTAACCAAAAAAGTTATCTTACAAATTCCAAGCCAACAAATTCCTGTGTCTTTAATAGCGGCCTTGTGTTTAACTCCCCCCCACCCATGCTGAGTTACTTAAACTAATCCTAATCCCAACAACAGGTTTGTCCAAGGAACTTCATTTCCTATTCTCTCTATAGCTACACTACTAAGGAAGAGTTGTAAAAACGTTTTCTAACAATAATAATTCTAATAAAGCTTCTTGATTATTATTTTTTTCTTCACGGATGTTATTGGGAATAAATCTGACAATTATGAAAATAAAATGCTGACATCTGCAAATCTGAAATATCTTATATGTTTTGGTAATTACCAGATTTTTAAATCTTCTGATTTCTACACATACGCACAAGATTTCTATTCTAACTGCGTTACATAATGACAAAGTTTACATAAATAAAAAGTGCACTCATAATATTTGAAGTAAAATAAAAATGGATCAAAATACTTTTAAATCACGTGATTTAATAAGATTCAATTCAAAGTGGGTAATTAAACAAAAATAAACAATGTCTTCATTCTTAATACATATTTTTTCCAGCTGGTTAAATAATCTACATAATTTTTAATTTATAGGATAATTAAGATTGTGTCTATTTGCTTCTCACAGTTTTTCTTCAACAGGAAATATAACTCATATTATTATGTACATTTACCCAATGCCCCGCCTTTTACAGCTAAAGATAAAGTCGAGGATAATTTAATTCATTATATAAATGCCTATTTCAAGAGACATTTATTGACTAATAAGGTTAAGATGCTAACATTAAGTAATCTTAACTCCTATTGTTTATGTTTTCATAAAATGGTAAACATATATAATTCTTACTACAAAGGTGTCCAAAAACTCTGGCTACATTTCCATTAAAATATTTCTTCTTATTAAAAAACAATAATTTACCTAGATTCAAAGATTTACAAGAATTGTTTCAAAATATGTCCAAAAAGAAGAATCCTAGAGGAAAGAAAGAAATGTTTCTACAGAGAGGAAAGAAAAATTAGACCTAAAAGAAGAAAGAAAATATTTCTGGGTAAAAAGGTCTTTATGTATTAAAGGCTTTAATAATAGAAAGATAGAGAAGTTACATACAGAAAGATCTAAATAGGTGATATTTGAATAGATGGAAAAGTTTATATGTAACTAACTTGGTTAGAAGTACATGAGACTGTCAATTAAAGTTATTTAAGCCTTTTTCCTAAGATCAAATATTACTATGCTAATGTAAATCAAAATACAAATTAATCTCTTATGCCTGGAAAATTTTATTATTTAAAAAAGAGCTAATTTTGGGCTGGGGTTGTGGCTCAATGGTAGAGTATTTGCCTAGCATGTGCAAGGCCCTGGTTTCAATCCTCAGCACCACATATAAATAAAGAAA